TTTGTGCTGACAGATTCTTCTGGTGAAGTTTCAGCCTATGGATGGTACAGAAATTCAGTGCTACAGCTGCTGTTCATTCATCATACACAAGTGCCTGTCCTTAGCAGAAAGACCTCCAGGGATCTCCTAAATATTCAGAGTAGCTTTGCCAATTCAAAAGCTGTTGTTATTTGAGTCAGGACTGAACAAATGTCCTTTAAAGACACCCAGCTCCATTGCTATCTGGAAATGCTGTTTTTCAGATAGACTGTGAGATCAGAGTCCTGAACTCTTCCTTTTCACTACTGCAGGAGATCAGGCTGTTTACGAGATTTGGTCCTAGCTAGAATGCCTAATCCAAGTATATCCAAACTTTGGCAGTCATTGTCACGAATTTCCTTTATCTCACCCTGGATCCTGATTTTGTGGCCAGACCTTTTCTTTAAACAGCACATGCCAAGCAACTCCAGGTTAATCTTATTTGGAAATCTCAGGGATACATCTCACTTCAGAGACCCCCACCCAGCAGACCCTCTATGGATTCTTACACTTCTTTAACTTGCTTTACTTGCCTTTGTTTAACAGAACTGAGGTCATGCTGCAGGGGAAGGGATAGCCTCTTGCATTCCATCCAGGTGCTTGCTTTGCTTCAGAACCCACCTGGACAGGCCTCGAGCTGGAAGAATTTAATATCAAAGTTAATTCAAATAATATCAAGATAATCACAAGAAAGATGCAGATAAAGTAAAATAGACTTATCAATATTACTATTAAACTTGATTTGCCCCCAGAGAAAAGCAGATAATTAAAAATTAGTAAAGAGCACAAGCCAGCATCTAATAATGACCAGTGCATTACGGTTTGGGCTATCAATATTGCATCACGTAAGTGACTAAATGCAATATATATATTAGACAAACATTTCCTGGGTGAAATGGCAGTTTTGATATGTATGTTTGATGTGCATTTTTGTGTTCTCCTCTCAGGACAGAGCATGAATCCTTCAATGCATTGTTGTGGCTTAACCCTGGTAGGCAACAGCATCACACAGCTGCTCACTCCCTAGGGAGAGGGAAGAGAATCAGAGAGGAATAGTGAGAAAAGTAATGGGCTGAGACAAAGACATTTAATAGGCAAAGCAAAAGCTGCATGCACAAACAAAGCAGAATAAAGAATTCATTCCCTACTTGCCATCAGCAGGCAGACGTTCAGTCATCTCCAGGAAACCAGGGCTCCATCACACCTAATAGTTACTTGAGAAGACTCCAAATGTCCTCCCACTTCCGACTGCTTTCTCCCAGCTTTTATTACTGAGCATGACATCATATGACATGGAACATCCCTTTGGGCAGTTGAGGTTACCTCTTCTGGCTGTGTCCCCTCCCAGCTTCTTGTGCCCCTCCAGTCTGTTGGCTGGTGGGGCAGCAGGAGAAGCAGAAAAGGCCTGGTTGCTGGGTAAGCCCCACTCAGCAACACCTACAGTATTGGTTTGTTATCAACACTGGTTTGGTCACAAATCCAAAACCTTTGAAGAAAATTAACTCCATTCCAGCCATACAAATACAACCAGTAAACCAACACTGCAAGGTCAGAAGTTTGAGAGGAGCCAGATCAAATTCAATTATATGTTTTGCTAATACTATTCTTACTGTTCTTACCTGTTTTTACTGCAAAGCCAAATATTTGCAATTTACTGGTGTCCAAATGAAACTGGAGAAAAGTGACCCATTATCTATAACTAATGTTACATTTGTTCCTAGTCTCCAGTTTTCCAAATTTCTTTACCATCTTTGTATTATATGGGTGCCCATTTAAAACAGATAAAATAACTCAGGTTGTACCACCTTTACATTCTTTGGTTGTTTGGGGTTTTTTTAAGTCCACATAAGATTTGTATTTCTTAAGCAAAATTAAGATGGTATTGCCAGTTCTTCTGTTCTCTGGTATATTCTCAAACTATAAGGCACTATACATGTGTTATTTTAAAAAATAATTTGTTTGTTTGCTCTTTCCTTGTCAGTGTGTGCAGAGTGACTCACTGGCATTTTACTGGCACTCTTGCACTAACATAAATGATCAAGGTGTCAAATAGGGAGAATCAGGACCTGGCCTGAGATTTATGCTCAGACCTCTGCACTACATCTTCCTGAATTGCATTACAAAGGTCTCTGAATGCCCCAGGTGACATTTTGGGGTTTCTCCTTGGAGATGTCTGTCTTCACAAATAATTGCTTCTGAACTTGGATAATTTGTTTTTAGTTACTGACAAATGTGCATGCACTCAATCAGTAATTTAATTGGGGGGAAAAAAACAACACCAAAAAGTTAAAAGATGCTGTGATCTGCATCGTAATAATCACACACATTTCCTATCATTTAGGTCTGTAAGAAACTCCTGACATTTGAAGCTGTCCTACTGAGTTGCCATGGCAACGAGACGAAAAAAAGACACCATCAGATCTGAAGATTGCAGTTTACAGTTACTGTTCTTCACTACTAGGCCTCAGTTGCTCCAGATCCAGTTTAATTTGCAGCCTCACTCAATCTGTCCAACTGTCCGTTGGTGTTTGACAACCTGCCCTGACTGCTGTTCCTGAACAGATTCCTTCTGCAAGACACCAGGCTTATGCGAGTTTTCTCTGAATGTTCAAAGACCATGACATCTAAAATGGACCTTGGGGGAGGAGAAACCAGATTGACTCAATTTTTTTTCTATCTGTTGACTTGTTGCTATTCAAATGTTCAGAAAATATTTTGTCTGTGGGTTAGTATTTGTATATGTATGAGTGTATGTATATATATATATATTTATATAGAGAGTTATACGACAGGTTTAGCTTTTATAAAATCTTCATCTGGAGTGTGCAAGGGACAAAGCAGATTAACACAGCCACAGATGAATTGTAACTATTCTACCACGGCTAAACCTACTGTACTTGCTGTTTATAGTGTGGCCAGAAGGAGAGAGCCTGTTGCAACCATCCTGCTACAGCAGCCACCTTGTTGACACCAAATAGAGCAGCCCCCGGGGCTCTGCAGCGTCACTCCTCATACCTCAGAGGTTCAGCAAACAAGAAATGCGAGTCCCCCCGGCTTTTTTCTGATCTGACCTGTGCTCCTTATGCCCCCAGGTGGAACTGATGATCCAGTGGATCCAGCTTCTGCAGAGCTCTGGTTTGGGAAGCAGGTGGGAAGCAGGCGGCTGGCACTGAGTGGGCCACCATGTACAGCAGCGGGAGCCCTGGGCCTCGTTCTGAAGGGGTGAAGCTTCCTTTGTGTTCCTGCAGATAATTATTTGCTGGGGCAGTTTACAAACCTGAAGTCTTTGGTCAGCTCAGCAGACACAGTTCAGTGGGCTGATGTCTCCAGATGAGCAGCTGATTGGAACAGCAAAGTACAGTGCTCCTCAAGCCCTGGGCTCTCAGCCTCCACGCAGCTGGCATTACATACGTAAGCGCAAGGAGGAAACCAGATGCCCTATTATATAAATATATTCACACACATATATATAGTTTTCAGTATATATATACATACATACACATGTACACTCAGTTTCCAGTTAAGAGTAACAAGCATTTCTTTGTGTGTAAACTTACCACACTTCTTCACAAACATGGGGAAAAAAAAGGGTGTTCGTTAAATATGAATATGAATCCTTTTTTATTCTGTGAGCATGTAAGGTTAAAAAAAACAAAACCAAACCTCTAACTGTATCAAGATGATCATCTTGTGAATAAATTGTAAATGATCCATCAAAGCTCACACCAAATTTTTATAAAATTAACACAAAAAGTATACTAGTGACAGACTGTGGCTTTTATTAGAGCTTGCCAGTAACTAGGGTAAGTGTCTTAGAATATTTTAACAAACTTGCTTATTTAAAGTTTAAACAAAAACAAAAACAGCTTCCTTATGCAATAGAACTTTGCAGCTGCATTCTTTAGTTGGCATTTTTACAGTACTTATGAGTCATCCTGTATACTGTCTTTATTACAGTGAGATTATAAGCATATCTTCCACACCACGTATATGTTGCAATAGCAAAGCTTTTTGGAAGCATTAAAAAGTCCAAACATACATTTAGTTTCCCATAATGCTACACTAGATATTAAATGTGTGTTGGTGGTTAAAAATTGCTGTACAATAGCTTTTCTCTGCCTTCCTGTATTGTACCAAATATGAAGCAGGTCTGTTTTGTTTTTAATCAAAAGGAGTAATAACAACAGCGACAGAGGAAAAATTAGTTTGTGTTGTGAACTTTCCTAACATTGTGGATTTCTTGATAAGATACAAGCTGCGTTCAGATAGGAACCTGTTTTTCTCTTCCAGCTTAACTCCCGCAGTACTGACCAAGTAAAACCTCCCCCTGACCTTGTTTCTCTCCCAGCACACTCTAGCTGTTTCAGTTACCAAAGGGGTACTTTGGTGGGAGTTTCTGTTGAGCAAAGGGCTCCAGGAGTGGGCTGTTAAGCACCTGCAGGTGTTTAAGAGGGAAACTGTCTGATCTCAAACATGAACATGGGCATGCTTCTAGTTTTCTTTCTCTGCCCATGTAATAATCATAACCTGCTGCTTTATCATCAAAAATCATTTTTAGAATTATAGTTTTCAGGCAAAGTTTTCAAAAGAAAAAAAAAATTCAACAAATGCAAAACATGACTGGATTTTCAACATGTATAGTTAATGAATGCATCCAAATGCACCCAAAGATAAACTACATCCTATGCTTTGATCTAAAACACCTCTATCTTTAATAAAAGAAATCATAATAGCCTCCCCCACAAACACTCTTTTTTTCTACTGGCTTTCTTCTTCTATCTATCCAGTAAAAGCCACCTCTGGAAAGACACTCATTGACATTAGTGTCATTTCTGTCAAGTACCATACAAAGCTACTCTTTTCTCCTTTAAACTAAGGCTCCTATAGCATTGGAGGATCATTCTAAAGGCAACCAAAACAAAGAACAACAAAAAAATCTCTTCTGCCTGGATCTACACTAACAATGGGAAAGATTCTCTACTACTTTGTGCCCAAGGACAAGATCTTTCTTCTTGGCTAATACTGCAACCTTTTGACACATAGAGAGGTCAGTATTGTGGCTGAAAAGCTGAAACAAGATGCATCAAAAGCCTTCATTCACCATCATCACTTCATATCTGCACCTAGATTAAAGCCTCCCAGCCTTTACTGTGTGTCTCTAGACTTCAGACAGAGCTAATCACTGGACCACTTAAGTATGCACAGAGAAGATGAAGCTGCCATGTTAATGTTTCTCCCTCTTTGTACCTGAGAACAAATCCTGTTTAACGAGGGGTGGTGGCATGTTCTGTAGCATTATACAAATAAGAACCATAATATAATCTGGGTTTTCCTACCTGAATGAGATTGTTGACTCTGGCTCAAAAAAACATATGTCCATTTCCTGAAACAAAGGAACAACAATAATTTATTAGTAAGGAAGTTGAAAAACGGCTCACATTTTTTTATAGTTCAGTATGTTTAACATTTGTTCAGTCAAGCTTGCTGGTTTTATAACATAGCACTTACTTCTACCTATTTGGTAGAAATTTGCAGCGTTTATTTCAGTTTATGTTTGTAGACATACAATGCTGTCTAGAGTATAAAAGGCAGTGAACTTGATGAGTTGCATTTGGTAACATGCACAAAACTTCCTGTGCAAAAATAATTTCACTTGAAAAAAGCATCTGCTGTTAAACCACAAAGTGGTTATAATAATCAGCGAGAGGAGTTCATTAGCAAGACAAAGGTCTCGTTTGTGGTGTACTTGCTAATTGAACCCTTCTCTGTACACCTCACGTGTGCTTTTGCAATATGCCTATGTTCACTTATTAATGTACATTTTGTTCAGTAACTGTAGGTCTGAACAAAGGCAAAAGAGCTGAATTTCCTACTGAGTATCAAGGAAAATTAAGAAGGAGTGGAACACTGGCTAATAAACATTCTGATCTCTGTTCTCATCACGTTTACACTGGTATAAATCAAAGAGCAACTTCATTACTGGAATTGCTTGAGATTCAGTTAATCATATTTAGATGAAATCTTTCTTCTAAACATCCACACATATTGCTTTTACTGGTCTGCTGTGAACAGTAAAGCAGCAATATTTGTCACAGGATCATTGAGTGCTTATATATAAGTCTCTTTTGTCACATACAGAGAAACTTACAGCTTAGATGCCTCCCACAGATGACTCACTTCCTTCACCAACCACTTTGCCATGTCCCCAAGGCACCCAGCATAATCTAGTTTAGCATTTATTTGAACTGGCTGTAGCCTGTAGTCAAATAATTTGTCATGGTTTCTTGCATGGTCATTTACGTTAGAGCTCACTATAATACAACCCTCAATTATGAAATTATGGACTTAAAATCAGTTTGTACAGCCCTAGTTTAAGTGTTTTATCACTACAAAAAAAGAAGGATATATGTTATATTAACAAGTTTACATCACTGGTCTTGCCTTTGCAAAGACCTCCTGTCTCAAATACTGAGAGGGCTGCCAGTTTTCTCTGCAATTGCTACTAATACCCAGCCACTTGAAGCACAGCAGAATTTTGTATGTAAATACTTTCACATCACTGTATAAAGGCTGTTTCTTTCTGAATGGATTAAATAATGTCTTATTTAACTAAAAAAAAAAAAAAAGCAACAAAAAAAACACAACAAGAAAACAAATAAAAAAAACAAACCACAAAAGAAATTATATTAAATTCACAACAGCTTGAGAACACCAACTCTAAGGCAAACCTCTGATCCCATCTTCCCTTTATTGCATCTCTAGAAACTCTGTTGTCTGAGATACACTCTCCAATGCTAACAAAAGGTAAAGAACTTTAATAACAATTATTTTCTTTCTATTAACCCTGCGATTTTTAGAATTAACATGCAAAGTACATGAAGTACTTAAGTTATCATTATAACTATTCTATTTAAAGCAGATATAACTATTTTGCTATGTAAAACAAATAACCATTGACACTAATCTCTTACTTCCCATCAAGTTGATCTGTATTTGTTCAGATGGATGCACTCATACACTCTCAGTGGAAAGTTACTAGTTGCACAGTTGTTATGTGTGTATATATATGTAGATATATAGAGATATACACATACACATATAAATATATATATATAATATATGCAGATGGAGGGAGACTAATACAACACGGGGACGTGGAATAAGCAGTTTAATTGAATAAGCAGTGGAATAAGCAGTTATGGTTGAGCACAGTGTGGTTTACATGTGCCAAACTAGTATCATTTTAAAGAAAAGAAAAAAGGCAAAAAAAAATCCAACCCAGGCATATCCCAGCTCTCATGTTGTATTGATGCTAACTTTAGCTGACCTGTCTTAACACATCTATCATGTGAAGATATGCATAGTTATTTACCCACTCATCTTCAGCTGTCTGTGTACCAGCAGGTCACCAGTAGTCGGAAGGGCAGGGTGTGTAGCCAGAATCATCATTACTGTGCTCTCAGTGGGACAACTATCTGGGGAAGTTTCATCCACCCTCTGAACATTACAGTGCTCTGCATCAGGGAATGGCTGATGATTTGGGGTTAAAATTAATGTCTGAAGACAGACTGTGTATGAACAGGCATACACACCCTGCCTGGGACGGGAGAAGAGCGTGTCTGGTGAACCCTGGTGGTAAAGTCAGTACAAA